TTTTTTTTTTTTTTTTTTTGGTATCAGGGATCGAATTCATGACCTTCCTCTTGTCAAGCAGGCATGGTGCCACTGAGCTACATCACCAGCCCTATTTTGGCTTTAAAGCCTTAGAAAAAAGTACTCCTGGAATACTTTCTTGGCTTGCCTATTTTTAGTTTGCACTTCATGCCAAGAACAGAAACAAAATTATATTTCTTTAAATATACCAGAGGCAAGCAACAGAAGCAAATTAATCTGATATAAAAAAAAATTCCAGGATAGAAGAAAGGTCTTTTCTTAGAAAAATTCAGAATTTTTTTCTCAATAGTTACCCAAAAGATTAGGGGAGAACAGTTTATTAAGAAACAGATACTGGGCCAGGGATTTAGCTCAGTGATGCTGCAACCTGTCTCACAAGCACAAGGTCCTGAGTTTGATCCCCAGTACAAAACTAAAAACAAAAAACAGGTACAATCTGATAAATTCAACTGTGTATCAATAGGAAAAACTTTAATAACTACATTTCCTGCTGGGTGTGGTGGTGCATACCTGCAACCCCAGCACTCAGGAGGCAGAGACAGGATTGCTGCAAGTTTGAGGCCAGCCTAGGCTACATAGTGAGCACTAGGCCTGCCTAAACTATATAGTGAGACACTGTCTCAAACAACAAAACAAAACTATATTTCCTTAAGGTAGGAAGGACATCTCAAACTAAGAGGTTTAGAGAAAATCCCACTAATTATTTTTCAAATTGTTAAGTATCCAATGTCAAGTTAACATCAAGACACATTTTCATAAGAAACATTTTAATTATAAACACAAAGCACAGACCAGCTTTACACATAACAAAAAAATTTTCACATCAATTCATGGATGTGCAATAATCTTTGTCTATGGGATTAACAATGCTACCAAAAGAGGTCTGGTTTGTTTTCTACGAATTAAGCATTTTTAACAGTCTACCCTGAGCATCATTCAGGCAGCACATTTGTTGTTGACCAACTGACCATCCTAAGCATAGCTTGGGCAACTGTCACTTCAACCAGTAGATTCTTATTTGCTGGAGATACAATCCTATTTGTTTTATATCGACCATTTTTTTGGATACTTTTTTGTTTAGAATGTTGTATTTGCCTTTGATATTTGTTTCTAGTGAAATCTAATAAATTCTGGTTATTTTCTTTTACTGATTCCTGTTTATTTTATTAGTGAAAAATAATAATTTTGTGCTACAACCTGTAAAAGGGTTTTGTTTTGTGGGGTTTTTTTTGTTTTTGTTGTTGTTTGTTTTTTGTACCAGGGACTGGACTCAGGACCTTGGGCTTACAAGGCAGGCAGCGGCACCATCACGGAGCTAAATCCCCTGCCCTAAAAGCTCTTATTAAAAAGTGGAGTCGCCTACTGCTGCCTCCGCCACCACCACCACCAAAGGAACGCTATAGGAGCGCCACAGAAGGAGCACCAGCGGGGAAGCTCCAGATTTGAAGCCCATTATCCCGCTAGCTACCCCTGCCCACCCCTCCTTCCACTGGTCGACCCCGGCCCTCGCCCCCACTCCCCACAGGTGCCATCTGCCACCATAGGCGCCCTCGACCCCCACCATCCCCAGGTGAGAGGGGTGAATTCAGGAAGCGGAGACACCCCCCAGGCACCCAGCAGCGTCACTATTTGCAGCGCGACAGGGCAGGAGCTGCAGAAGGAATGATATTCAGTGGTGTTTTTCTCAGGTGAAAGAACAAGTAGATAATGACGTAGCAGAAGTAGAAAACATTTCTACAGTAGAATTTAATCATTCTAGAGAATTACTAGCAACAGGAGATAAAGGTGGTAAAGTTGTCATCTTTCAGCAGGAGCAGGAGCGCCTTTGACTTGAGGATTTCAAAATGCTTTACAAACACTAATGAATTAATCCTCACAACACCCCAGTGAGAACAAAATCCAGTCTCATCGCAGAGAAGAATATAATGTTTACAGCACCTTCCAGAGTCACGAATCAGATTTTGACTACTTGAAAAGTTTAGATATAGAAGAAAAGAACAACAAAATTAGATGGTTACCCTAGAAAAATGCTGATCAGTTTTTATTGTCTACCAATGATAAAACAATAAAATTATGGAAAATCAGTGAAAGGGTCAAAAGACCAGAAGGGTATAACTTGAAAGAAGAGGATGGAAAGTACAGAGATTCTACTACAGTTACTATACTACGAGTGCCAGTCTTCAAGCCCATGGAGCTAATGGTAGAGGCCAGTCCACAAGGAATGTGTGCCAGTGCTCATACCACATCAACTCCATTTCTATCAAGTGATTATGAAACTTATTTATCTGCAGATGATTTGCAGATTAATCTTTGGCACCTGGAATTTACAGACAGGAGTTTTAATACTGTGGATATCAAACCTGCCAACAAAGGACTAGGGATTTAGCTCAGTGGTTCCACCGCCTACCTTGCAAGCACAAGGACCCAAGTTTGATTCCCCATACAAAAACAAAAACAAAAACAAAAAAAACACCTGCCAACATGGAAGAGCTCACAGCCACAGAATTCCATCCCAACAGCTGTAACACGTTTGTGTACAGCAGCAGTAAAGGAACCATTCAGCTCTGTGACATGAGGACATCTGCCCTCTGCGATAGGCATTCTAAACTGTCTGAAGAAACTAAAGACCCCACTATCTGGTCTTTTTTTCCCCAAAAAAACATCTCCTCTATTTCTGATGTAAAATTTAGCCATAGAGGTCGCTATACGATGACTAGAGATTATTTGTTAGTCAAAATTTGGGATTTAGGGCTGGGTATTTAGCTCAGTGGTGCCACCACCTGCCTCAAAGCACAAAGACCTTAGTTTGATCCTGGTACAAAAAAAAAGGGGGGTATTAAATATGGAAAACAGGCCTGTGGAAACATACCAGGTGCATGAATACCTCAGAAGTAAATTTTGTTCACTATATGAAAATGACTATATTTGACAAATGTGAATGTTGTTGTTGGAATGGATCTGACAGTGTTGTCATGAATGAATCTTACAATAATTCAGAATGTTCAAAAGGAACACAAAGCGAGATACAACCTTAGAAGCATCATGAGAAAACAGTAAGCCTTGCGAGGTTTTGAAGCCATGCAAAGCTGTGCAAGCGACAAGTGAAAGAAAGATGAAATAAGTGTTGACAGCCTAGATTTCAACAAGAAAATCCTTCATACAGCCTGGCACCCGAAGGAAAATATCATTGCTGTAGCTACTACAATCTGTATATTTTTCAAGACAAAGCAAATTAGGGTTGGCATTCCTAGCAAAATGCCCACTTTCTGCTCAGTTGAAACTAGCATTCATACCTATAAAAGAGAGAGGTCCACTGTGGCACCCCTTCCCATATTTGACAGTGTTATAATTCGACAACACATATTTATAGCTACACGGAGAAAGCTCTGTGGTTTCCTCATTGGTGTTCTCCTTGTCTGCTAGCCATTTAGGTAAGGGTAGGGCACTTTTAATTTAAATAACTTCTTGCACCATCGTGCCTAATGGACTAGACTGGACTGTGTCAGCACTGATTTACTCCACTTTTGTTTTTGGTACCAGGAATCGAACTCGGGTCCTTGCACCAGGCAGTGGAACCACTAAGCTAAATCCCCAGCCCAATTTACTCCACTTTTTATGCCTTCCATTGTGATGACATCAAACACAGCGTTCAGTCATGCTATGGGATTTAACTGTGCATCCTCATTACTGTATCATTTGTGGGGTACACTCCTTCCTCTTTTTAAAATTAAATATAGCTCATTTTACTGTGGCTTGTAGGATTCCTCCTCTCTGGCCTCCTGGACTGTCCCCCCTCATCTCTTTTACCCTTGCCCCTTCCACCCAGTCTCAGTGGTGGTATATTAAAAAAAACGAACTAAAAGCACACAAAATGAGTCAGTTTGGGGTCAGTGGTAAAGTGGGTGTACGTTCTGAACAAATATTTAATAAAAGTTGGGCTGTAATCACTCCTTGCCATGTCTGGCAAATAAGGAAAAAAATTACTACTGAATAAAAGTGACAAAGAATGGAGAAAAAATAAAAGCTCTTATTGTAAGTGCATCAGATTTAATTTTTATACTTCTCCAGAACTCAGTGATATTCTCTTACAACACAAAACAAACATTTGGGACACTAAGACTGGATAGGAAGGAAGTATCAAAAGATCTGCAAGTGCGGGCTGGGGATTTAGGTCAGTGGTGCCGCCTGACTCCCAAGCACAAGGACCTGAGTTCGATCCCTGTTACCACCCCCCCCAAAATCTGCAAGGGCCAGGGATTTAGCTCAGTGGTGCCGCTGCCTGTCTCGAAAGTGCAAGGTCCCGAGTTCAATCCCCAACCTAAAAAAAAAAAAAAAGGAAAAAGGGAGAAATATTAGTATATCAAAGAGGAAAAGTCTCTGTAGTACAATGGAAAAAACGAGACTTTATTATCAACTACTTCATAATACAGAAATGATAGAACTCGAAAGAGAAATAAAACTAAAGAAACTCCAACAGTGGTTAATGATTACAATAATTTTATGGGTGGTATTGATATAGCTGACTCTAACAAGCTATCCTGTAATCAAAAAGTGAGGAGGGCCAGGGATTTAGCATGCCTGCCTCTCAAGTACAAGGTCCCAAGTTTGATCCCCAGTACCCCCAGACAAAAAGGGAGGAAAAAACATTATTATAAAATAGCTGTGCAGTTTCTAGACCAAACAATATGGAACTTGTGTGTTATTTATTCAAAACAAGAGGGCTCAAAAAGTTATTTACAATTTAGATTAGGTCTAATAGACCAAATAATTGAACTACATGGGACAGTGAAACGCCAACCAGGATGTCCATCATCAATATCTTCACCATTACATTTAGTAGGCAGATATTTATTGAAATTATACCAGTTCAATCCCTGGGACCAAAAAAAAGAAAACATACTACCCATAGAAACAAAGAAAAGCCTGACAAGACAGTGTAAAGTGTGCTATTCAAAGTAAGGCCATAATGCAAAAATAATTCGGAAAGAGACTAGATACTAATGTCCAGATTATAACATCGAATTGTGTACTGAATGTTTTAAGATATACTATAAAGAAAAATTACTGAATAAATTTGATAAAATTGTTTTCATATTTCTTTTTATAATCCTATAAAAATTAATGAAAAATGCAAATTTTAGTCATCCTGTATTAAAGTTAAATCTCAATGTTAGTTATATTCTTTTCTTAAAAAACTCAAATAGCACAAAGGTGCCACAATACTGAATTGTAAGACTCAGGCGAACACGAATGCTAAATTACTAATAAAGGCTTTGTCCTCATTTTAAAGTATCTTATTAAAACAAGAAAAATCCAGACTCCCTTATAACACATATAACATGTAACTACAATTCAGTTACATTCACAACAGCACAGGTGGCCTTTACATATTTTGTAAACTTGACAACTATTGTTAAATACTGACGTCCTGTACCAAAGACAGAAAAACACACATACAGTTAACCCTTCCTTAAGAAAAATAATTTACTGATTAGATAAATTTTCTCTTGAAAGATAAAACTACTCTAAAAACCACAGCTTACAGTATAAAAAGGACACGAACTATAAGTTTATCCACTTACTACATGGCTTAACTGAATAAAAGACACTAGCATTTGTGATTAACACTTCTGAAACTCACACACTAGTTTTTTGGTTTTGTTTTGTTTTGTTGTTGTTTTGAGACAGGGTCTCACTATGTAGTTGAGACTAACCTGGAACTCACTGTGTAGCCCAGGCTGGTTTCGAACTCACAGCGATCCTCCTGCCTCAGCCTCCCGAGTGCTGGGATTACAAGCATGTGCCACCACGCCCGGTACTTACACACTAGTTTTAGCAAAATCACACAAACACTTTTCAAAAACAAAGTACACTAAAACTAAAGGCTTACATTCTTTTACTCTTTCATTCCTTTACCCATACATTTACTCTTATCTGGACTTTTTATCTGGACACTCTTATCTGGACAGTAACAAGTCAACTTCTTTAGAAAGCCAAGAAAATGAAATTTTCAGTTAAGGAGTTTTGGAGAAAGTACTTAAAAGGACAGAAGTATTTGTAGTTAGCAACAATCGTCTATTTGCTTAAATTAGCTCAACAACTTTTTCCGAAATGGGAGTCACATCTGAATTAGCGTTAAGAAAGCACTCCTAAAAAGCAACTGAGAAGAGTGTTAAGAAAGGGGCAACTTGAGATTCCCTCAAATCACTGCCAAACCACTCAGGTCCACAGCCAGGACCAGAACACACTGGGACCGCGTTCCAGAAGCGGGCAGCGCCTCCTGTCAGATGCCGGCCCCTCCACGCACCTGTCACCTCTGGTAGGGATGACCCCATCCCGAGAGCTCTGCCCGCTGGGGCTCAGCTCCGACTCCCCAGGATCTGCACATGGGATGCAGAAGGGAGAAGAACATTTTAAGCAAAGCTGGGAGGGCTCCGAGTCCTGGGACAGCCCGAGGCCAGGAGGAACGACCCCAGGATAGAGGCCGCGACAGCTCTCGGGGTCCTTGCTCACGAAGCCGGGACAGCAGGAGAGGGAATCGGGCTCTCTCTGCTCTCCAGAGACAAGTAATACCAGATCGCTTCGCCCGGCAGGGACCCTTCCACCGCGACTGGACGGGACACCGGACAGGGGTCCCACGGAGAGGAAGGGCGGGCCGGCGGGCGCCCCCACAGCCGGAAGGGACGAGCCCCGCAAGCAGGTTACCTCCGGCCGGGCTCACCTTCAGGTCGTTTTCCGGCAGGTACTTGCACAGCCGCGCTATCTCCACATACTTGTCCAAGTCTAGCGGCGCCATTTTAGAGATAACAAGCCGCGTTTGAGGTAGCGGCAGCAACGGCGACTGCTGCGGTAGGGGAGGAAGCGGCGGAGGCCGAGGCCGGAACTCCTCCTGCGTCACGTCCGGCCCTTTGGTGGCGTCTGCGCAGTGACGTTAAAGCCTGCCGCCGCTTCGGCACGCCCCTCGCCCTCTCGGGAAGAACCCAGGCTGCCGGTCTGAAGAGTCCACTCGCTCTAGCGAAATCTTCTGGGACCCGTAGTTGTCTGTCGCACGGAGTTCTGGGAATTGTAGTTTTCAGGTGTGGCCCACTACTTTCTTTTTTTTCCTTCCCTTTTCTTGCACCCGAATCACTTCAGGGGACCTGCGAGACATTTTCCAGGTAACACGGCAAAGTGAGTGACTCTAGGGCCGAGATTCTACTCCCTGGTTTCTCATTCCAACCGTTAAGTAATCTCATCAAAATATCTTCAGTTAGGGCCGGGGATTTGACTCAGAGGTTCCTGGCTTACAAGGACCCGAGTTTGATATTTTCAGTTAAAAATGGATAAGCCTACCTAGCTATAGCTACTTGTTCAACCTTTCCAAGGCCTTCAGAAGGCCTTATCCAGACCTGTGGCACAGATGTCAGTCTCCTATGACTCCCGCCAGGAAGGAAGGGAAACAAGTGTTAAATGTGTTTACTATGTTACGTGCTACACAGATGCTGCTTTTTTTATTTTGCTATGTTCATTTCTTATAATGATTGATAGTAATGCAAAGGTTGTAGATGTTAACTTGTCCCACGTTTCACAGGAAACAGTGCGGAGCCAAGAATAGAAAATAGGCTACTGGGCTGGGGATTTAGCTCAGTGGTTCGGTGGCCTGCCTCGCAAGTGCAAGAACCCGAGTTCAATCCCCGGTACCAAAACAAAAAACAAACGAACAAACAAAAAAGAGAATAGGCTACTGGCTCAAGCATATTTCCATGTTGAGTCCCGTGAGGACAGGGAGATTTTTTGTTGTATCCCCTGGGCCAAGAATAGCACCTGGCACTTGAAATACCTTTACCATTTATTCATTACAAAATTACTGGTTGAGCACCATTTATCTACCAGGTATAGTTGTAGGCACTTGGAATATTCAGAGAACATATTAAGTAAAGAACTTTATCTTCAACCTATAGTATATAGTCTAGTAAAGAAAGACAGAAAAAGAAAGACAGGACATAAACAATAAATAAAAGAAATGATGTACAGTGTTAGGGGGGAAAGCCCCAGCAGAGTAAGAGAAAGGGATGTTGCTTTGATGCCTTTAGTTTTGTGGGTTTTGTTTTTGTTTTGTTTTTTTTTGTACCAGGGATCAAACTCAGGACCTACTTGCCAGGCAAGTGCGGCTGCCATTGAGCTAAATCTCTGGACCCTGGGGTGATGCATTTTAAAAACCAACAATGTACCAGGAGTGGTGGCACACTCTTGTACTACCAGTACCGGCCCAGGAGGCTGAGGCAGAATAGGAGCCAGCTGGAGGACATCTTGGCCTAAATAGTGAGTTCAAGTCCAGCCTGGACTACACATAGTGAGACCTTATCTCAAAAGACTCAAAACAAAACAAAACAGAAAATAAATAAATAGGGCTGGGAAATTAGCTCAGTGGAGTCACACCTGCCTCGCAAACGCAAGGTCCTGAGTTTGATCCCCGGTACCAAAAAATAAATAAATAAAATTTCACTAAAAAAAAAAAAAGCTGGGTGTGGGGGTGTGGTATTGCACATTTGTAATCTCAGCACTAGGAGTGTGGCGGGGGGGGCGCTAATGCAGGAAGATCACCAAGAGTTTGAGGCCAGCCTGGGCTGCATAGTGAGTTCAAGGCCAACTTGAATTACATAGTGAGACCCTGTCTAAAAAGGGGTTTGGGGAAAAGCAATACTAGCACATATAATTGAGGCAATAAGTGGAAAGGGAGAGGACAGCAGAAAAGAGGAGTTTTGTTTTGTTTTGTTTTTTTCCTGGTACCAGAGATCGAACTTGGGACCTCGTGCTTGCAAGGCAGGTGGCAGAACTACTGAGCTAAATCCTTGGCCCTATATTATTATTATTATTGTACTTTTAACCTAATAGACAGCCACTGCAGGATTTTAAAGAGGGATAACATTAACTTCTTTGCAAAGGATCACTCTGGCTGCTATATGACACTATAAGATAGTAAGAGTGTAACAGAGAAATTAGGACACATTTAAATCATCTAATACTAGCAGGTAATCAATAAATATTTGTTGTTCAGGGCCAGGGATTTAGCTCAATGGTTCTGCTTCCTGCCTGGCAAGCGCAAGGTCCCAAGTTCGATCCCCGGTACCAAAAAAAAAAAAAAAAAAAAGAGGGGCAAATTACAACAATGCTGAGATTCCATCTCACTCTAGAAAGAATGACTGCTATCGAGAAATCAACCCGGACTGGGGATTTAGCTCAGTGGCTCAGCTTCTGCCTTGCAAGCTCAAAGGCCTGAGTTTGATCCCCAGTACCCCCCCCAAAAAAAACAGTAACAAATGCTGGAGGGTCTGTGAGGAAAAAAGAACCACTACTGGTGGAAGTGTAGAAAGTAAAACCACTGTGGTAATCAGTGTGGGTGGAGGTGTCTTAAAAGACTAAAATTAGACCTAGCTATACCACTTCTAAAAGAATTAAAAGCATTCTACCACAGCGATATGTACACACTCATGTTTATAGCAGCACAGTTTGTAATAGCTAAATCTTGGAAACAGATCAAGTGCCCATCAACTGACAAGTGGATAAAGAAACTGGTTTTTGTATATAATGGAGTACTACTATGCCATAAAGAAGGATGAGCTTCAGATATTTGTAGCTAAATGATGGGCACTGAGACCATACTAAGTGAAATAAATTGGGCACATGTTTAAATGTCACCTTGTGAGAAACAAAGAGTGTAATATGGACTAAGATGTATAATGGATGTGGGGAAATGGGAAGAAAGTGCTCAAATGGGAAGGGGAACAAGGAAGGGACAAGAAAAAAATGAAAATAAAAGAGAAAATGGAAACAAGACTTTTGTACAGGGAGGGGCGGGGACTTGGAGGAAATGGAATCAAATAAAATGTATTAAATAACCAGGGAGGGCCGGGGATTTAGCTCAGTGGTTCCGCTGCCTGCCTTGAAAGTGCAAGGACCTGAGTTCGATCCCAGGTACCAAAACAAACAAACAAACAAAACACAGGGATTTAGCTCAGTGGCACTGTGCCTGCCTTGTAAGCACAAAGTCCTAATTTTGGTCCCCGTACCAAAAATAAATAAATAAATAAATAAAAAATAGCACAAGAAAAAGATGCAGACTCCAGCACACGATGCCACATTTCAAATCCAGGTCCTACCACTTACCGAGACTTTTTTTTTTTTTTTTTTTTA